CTTTACAGCAGCCCAGGGTTTACCCTCCCAACCTCACAAGTAAGCAGCCAGAGCCCAGAGGCCTGTCCACGGCCTCATAAAGGCAGAGTTGGAACCGGGTCCCTGGTCTCCTGATGCCTGTCGCATGCACGAGGCCCATACACTGTGAGGTGGAATTCCAACTGCTTGAGGCTTTTCACCCCAAACCATAAGTTCTAGCTTTTTGTTCACCTGAGCTGCCCACTGCCTTGCTATGACCATGGGGTGAAGCCCTTTACAGTGGGGTTGGAGGAGGTATAGGGAACTGAAGGTAGGAAGCAGGGAATGTCTTTTTCTCAAGGGAGTTTAGCGAGAGCTTGGTATTTACTGAGTGTTCAGTTTTCAGAGAGGAAATAAAGAAAAACTAAAGGTCACATGAGTTTAACTGGATGACTGTTAATCTCTTGCATATATTTTACACTGCACACTTTGCAAAGGGCTTATGCCTGTGTGTGTGTTTAATTCACATACTATATATCACTCAAAGTATACAAGTCAGTGGTTTTATTCACAGGATTGTGCAACCATCATCACAATCTAATTTAGGAACATTTTTATGACCCCAAAAAGAAACTTTGTCCCCATTAGAGGTCACTTCCTATTTCCATCATCACCCCAGCCTTAAGCAACTACTAATCTATTTTCTGTCTCTGAATATTTACCAATTCTAACATTTTATACAAGTAGAATCTAGCTTCCTTTCACTTAGCACAATGCTTTCAGGGTTTATTCATTTTGTAACATGTATTTGTACTTTTTTCTTTCTACTGCTGAATAATACTCCATTATGTGATATGCCACTTTCTCTCTATATATCCATCAGCTTATAGGCATTTGGATTGTTTCCACTTTGGCTATAATAAGTAAAGCTGCTGTGTTTACAGGTTTTTCTGTGGACGTATGTTTCCATTACTCCTAGGTATATACCTACAAGTGGAATTGCTGGGTCATGTGGTGATCCTGTGTTTAACTTTTTGAGGAACTGTCAACTGTGTGTGTTTATAAATTTACTGAGATATGTTTCCTATATTGGGCTTTTTGGTGGCTCAGTGGTAAAGAATCTGCCTGCCAGTGCAGGAGATGCAGATTCGATCCCTGAGTCAGGGATCCCTGGGGAAGGGGATGGCTAGCCTACCAGTTCTCTTGCCTGGGAAATTCCACAGACAGAGGAGCCTGGCGGGCTCCAGTCCATGGGTCACGAAAGAGTCGGACACGGCTTAGCTTCTAAGCAACAATTTCTTGTACCATGAAAGTCACCCATTTAAAGTATACAGTTCAGTGGTTTTAGTATTTCCTAGGGTTGTGCAACCATCACCACAGTCTAATTTTAGAAAATTTTCATCAGCCTCAAAAAGAAACACCATTCTCATTAGCAGTCACTTTCCATTCCTGCTTACCACCCCACCCCCTTCCCAGGCAACCACTAGTTTACTTGCTGTCTTTGAATTTTCCTATTCTAGACATTTTGGATAAATAAAGTCATGTGACCCATAGTCTCTTGTCACTAGTTTCTTTCACTTAGCACAGTGTTTTGGGGGTTCATCCATATTGTGGCATGTTGTTAGTATTTCACTCATTTATGTGACTGAATAATGTTCCCTTGTGTGAATATCCCACAGTTTGTTTATCCAGCCTCTACCTCTGTCATCCCATTGTGTTCTGCCTGTGTGTCTTTGTCTCTGTTTTCTTATAAGGACTCCAGTCACTGGAGTAAGGCCCACACTAACCCCTTGTAACTTCATTTTAATTCATTATATCTGCAAAGACCCTACTTTCAAATAAGGTCACATTCTGAGGTTCCATGGGTTTTGGAGGGGACACTGTTGAACCCAGTAAGACACCAAGGAGTAACCACATGAATTTAGATAGAAGTCTTTAAAGTTGCAAGCTGAGGTAGGATTTCTGGCAAAGTTTCATCTTTGGAAGAGCTGTCCTGGGGCTGCAGGCCATTACGGAGCTAACTGGTGTCACAGACGTGGCTTCATGTCAGAAGAGTGGAATTCCAAGTGTCTCTGGGCCCAGCTCATCCTAACCCCTACTCCAGCTTATTACCAGACCTCGAAAACCTCTCTGATTTTGACCATAAGAAACAAGCATGAATGGATTTTTGTGCCAGAGAAAATTGTTTTATTCATTCAACACATATGTAATGAATACCCACTATGTGCTGGGACTGTTCTAGGCACCAGAGATAATAGAGGAGACTGGAACACATTTTGAGTACCTACAACTTGTGGCACTTCTCTCACCCTTTCTGCATTTCTTCTTACAGCCACCCTCTGGCAATTTGTAAATAAGGGAACTGAGACTAGGGTGAAATGATTTCTCCTCCTCTGTGACTAAACAGACTGTGTCGCTTTTGAGCTGGAGGCACTGAGGCTGGGTCAGTCTTCCTTTGAATGCTCCACAACATAGAGGACATGAAGAAGGAATGACAAGGTGACAAGGGTGACAAGGCAGGATAAGTTGGTTGTCACAAAATGGCTATTCTTGTCAGTTTGAGGAACCTGGTCTTTATTCTGAAGGTAATGAGGAGTCACGGATGGTATTGAGGGGGTTTGACTTATTATGCTATGTACTTCAGACATTTAATCAACACATGATTGTGGAGTTGTGTCATAGACGGGGCTTCACTCTAGGGATAAAATTGTTACAAAAGGGACAGTATCTCTGCCCTCACTGAGTTTATAGCCTAATGTATGGAGTGATACAGACGAGGTTGGTATTCTCCTGAAATTCTGTTTGAAACACAAGAAAGAACAAGTGAGAAGCACAGTTGAAGAAATAAACAGGAAAGTGGTTTTAAGAAGAGAGAGTTTGCAAGTCATCCTGAGGATCGCAGGGATCCATTGTTGCATTTTAAGCAGGGCAGGGGCATAATGACATGAGGTGGTCATTGAGAAACAGGGAAGGGTGATAGATAATGCCTGGGTTTCTGTCTCGGAGAACTGACCGGATGGCGGTGTTGATGTGCTTCACTGAGATACAGAATGCAGGAGGAGCTCCACTGAGATTGTGGAGTTTGACCTGCTTGTGGGACAGCTGAATGGAGGTGCCTGGCAGTTTGGGGGGCTGGCGGGGAGGAAGGGACGGGGAGCAATTATAGGACAGAGAGCTCAGGAAAGAGAAGCGAGCCAGCGATTAAGATTTGTGAGTTGTCGTCAGATGGCGGAAGCTGTGAGAACGGACAGGATACCCTGGAGAGTCTCCAGAGGGAGAGTGAGGTCACAGGAGGGTGTGGGCAGAGCGCTGAGGAAAGCCCCCCTGGAAGGGCTGGTCGGGGAGGAGGGTGCAGAAGACCACGGACAGCGTAGGATGCCCCCAGAGGCTGCCCTGCCACCTCCCCTGGGTCTCCCCTGGCGCTGGGCCTTCTCCTCTCCTGGGTTGTCAACCCTCTCCTCTGCCATCAGAGAGCTCATCTCGCACATCTAATGGCGTAACGAAGCCATTGATTCTGTTAACAGACATCCAGTTCACAAGACCTATAATGGACATTCACTTTGGAGGCCGACAGAGCTGTCGATGGAACAGTTTTTCCCCAGAGGCCCGTGGCGTTTCCTGCTATATGCTGGCATTAGCTGTCCTGTCCAGCATCAGAAAAGACTGGAGAGTCATTAACACTGTAGAGCTGGTGATCCCGCCCTGGGCCATGAGAAGGGTGCTAAAACAGGTCAGATAATGGGGTAGAAAGAGAACTAAGTCCCCTCTGAAGTGTTCACTCGCCCTAGAAAGCCCCTATCATCACCACTAAAACCTCAACCCCCACTGGCCATCACACTGCCAGAAAGGACATCTTTAACCTTTCTTTTGAGCAAAAAGTTTTGCTGGTGGAATTACTGTATGCTGAATACATTTTTTTTTTTTTTTTGCTTATTCTGCAAAGACAGACTCAGAACTTGTCCTATGTACCTGGGCTTTATTAGGTAAATGCTGGCACTGAAGAGGTAACATCACCAATCACTGCTTTTAGACACCCATGGGCCAGGCAAGGAAGCAGGATGACAGTGGATATAATGAAGCTTGGGCCACATGCTGTTCGCACCCGGAACAATGGCCAAGTCCAGGAAGGTTTCAGGGAAAATATGATATCCGTGTAGGGTCTTAAAAGTCTGCCTATGAACGCCAAAGGAGTAAAATCCACGCGGAAGGAACAGCCCAAACCAAAATAAAGAATCATAAAAGGGGCTGGTGTGTCCATGGACTGATGAAGCTTCCATATGCCTGGGGTATGGGAGGAGGAAAGCAGGAAATAGGTCAGACTGTGAAAGCCCTTGTATGTTGTGCTAAGGCATTTGGACTAAGCTTAGAGAGCCAGCCAAATGAATAATGCCCTTGGCTTGGGGTGTAGCACTCTAAACTATTATCTGTCTTTAATACCTCGCTTCCTTTCTAACACAACAGCGAGAGTTAAAGATAAGAGTTAAGAAAAAAAAAAAAAAAAGCCCATAGACAGAGAGTGGCGGGTACAGGGGCAGGGCAGCATCGTCCTGGGAGGACGTGGAAGGGCAGGCTGGAGGGGCTGGGACCGCTCTGAAGGACTGACGGTTCCATGTACTTTTATCAGGTAGTGCAGTGACACATGGCCCAGGCCCCTCGGTGAGTAAGTCTTCAGGAAGCAGAGCTTCATTTAATAAAGCCAGCTAGCTTTGAGGGAGGCGATACCCCGGGAGCCCCCAGAGAGAGGGGAGGCAGTGGCCTTCCCTTGCCCACGGCTGGCCTCGCCCCAGCACCCGAGTCCACGCCTGGACCGAGAGCAGCCTCGCCTCCCGGAGGCGGGGCAGGTGGTGCCGGGGCGATGGTGGCCTCCGGGCGACCCCAGGGGCAGCGCGGAGGCCCTGAGCCAGGAGCGGGGCAGTGGGGACGCTCCTGCTGCTGGCCCGCTGCCTCTGCCCCTCACAGCCCCTCTTCCTCCGGCCGCCCGGCCCGGGCGAGGGCCGCCTTCCCTTCCCCTTCCCCTCACGCCGCTCTTCCTCTCTGCTCAGACTCCCTGAGGAACGTCTCCTCCGCCACGCACGGGCCGCGCTCCTCTCCAGCGGAGCTCAGCAGCTCCAGCCAGCACCTCCTCCGGGAACGGAAGGCCTCGGCCCCGTCGCACTCCAGCCAGCCGACCCTGTTCACCTTCGAGCCCTCGCTGTCGAACCACGCGCAGCCGGCCCTGTCCACCAGCGCGCCGCAGGAGTACCTCTACCTGCACCAGTGCATAAGCCGGAGGGCCGAGAACACACGGTAGGCGCGCGGGCCTTGCCGAGTCCCAGTCCCGCTCGCGGGGCCCAGTCCTTTCAGCCTCTGCTTTTTAATTTTGAAGACGCGGGAGTAAACTATCACTGTATCTTTCCAGGTGACCAGATACATAATTATAAAACAAAAACACCGTTGCTCTAGTTTAGGTAGCCTTCACATTTTATTGGTATCGTCTACGTTGCTATATAATGATACTTGGATTCCAAAGAAGCCTTTCATTATCAAAAGTCTTCCTATAAGAATTGTGTTTAATTTGGGGGAAAAGGCATTAAGAAGCTAGAGTTTCAGAATTGAAAACAAAGTCAGCTGCCTTTGTTGACCCTAACAATATAGCTATAAAACCTGAACATTGTTGAATAAATCCGTGTCCACTGCGGCGTTCCATGCGGCAGCCACTCTCCACATGTGGCTATCTAAATTTGAGTCAATTAAAGTTAAATAAAACGGGAACTTCCCTGGTGGTCCAGTGATTCACAATCTGCCTGCCAGCTCAGGGGATACATGTTTGATCCCTGGTTGGGGAACTAAGCGCCCACAGGCCATGGAGCAGCTAAGCCCCCTTGCCACAACGCAGGAGCCACAGCAAAAGTCCCGCATGATGCAGCTACGACCTGACCCAGCAAAGTAAGTCACAGCTGTGACTGTGTTGATGATGAAAGAAAATAGATGCCAAAGATGTCTGTAATAGCATAAATTTAAAAGAACATTATTTTAATTAAATAACACTAAGAATTACGTTCCTCAGTTGCACCAGCCATGTTTCAAGTGCTTGCTGGCCACACGTGGCCAGCCAGTGGCTGCCACACACGGTCATGCATATACACAATATTTTCATCATCACAGAAAGTCGTAGCAAGAACTCCCTGCTCTAGAGTTAAGTTTTTGTTTTTCTGACACTGAAAACTCTCTCAGATATAGAGCCTGTACATACTTTTATTACCTTTTATTCTCATCTTTAGGGTAAGCAAAAGCACAGAGCTTATGGACTTTGCCGGAACTGGTTCCCAGTTGTACCATGGCCAGCAGATTGCAAATCACGTTCTTGTATTAATTAACTTAGAAACAACTAATTTGTGTTATGAGAATTAAGGCAGTTAGCTGGTTTATTGATAAATCACATCACAGAATATTTTCATGCATAATCACACTTCAGTTCAGCCGCTCAGTCGTGTCCGACTCTTTGCGACCCCATGAACCACAGCACGCCAGGCCTCCCTGTCCATCACCAACTCCCAGAGTTTACTCAAACTCATGTCCATCGAGTCGGTGATACCATCCAGCCATCTCATCCTCTGTCGTCCCCTTCTCCTCCTGCCCCCAATCCCTCCCAGCATCAGGGTCTTTTCCAATGAGTCAACTCTTCACATGAGGTGGCCAAAGTAATGGAGTTTCAGCTTCAGCATCAGTCCTTCCAGTGAACACCCAGGACAGATCTCCCCTAGGATGGACTGGTTGGACCTCCTTGTAGTCATACACTGAGAGATTGCTAGGGTCGATCACTTCTCTCTGTTTCACGGATGAAGAAACCAAGACTCAGGACTTCTGAATGACAGAGGTAGGACTAGAACCCAAGCCTCTCCTTTCTGGTCGTATACTCTTCTCTCTACACCATGCTATTCTGTGATTCAGGTTTTCTGAGTCATTTTCACACACTCCCAATACTCAGTTTGAAATCTGCCTCAAAAAACTCATTTTCCTCAAGCAGCGTGATTCATCTGTGAACTTTCTCTAGTTCAGGCAACCTCCATCAACATACACATGAGGGGCTGAGTTCTACACAGCTAGAATGAACTAACCAAGATCACTGAGCTAGTTAGTACCTGGTTCTTCTGAACCACAGACCAGGGACAGTGGTAGAATGCAAAGTATTTTGCAGGCTCTGCAGTTCAGTCAGTTATGGTTTCAGATTCAGCTTTGGCCACTTCTTTGTGACCTTGGGGGCCATTTATTTAGCCTTCTTGATCTTCAGTTTCCTTCTCTGCAGAGTGAGAATAATTAACTCATGAGCATAATTAATGAACATAAAATTTCAAAACATTTCTGAGGTACCCGTGAGGTAGGAGGTCCTCAGAACATATTGCCAGATGCTCTCTCAGGCCACCACCCCTTCCGCTACACATAGGATCACAGGGGAGTAAAGAATGAGAGGCTGTACAGTCATTGTTTTATTGAAAGACAGAGCACTTTATATTAGTGTCTCTCAAACAAGAACGTGCACATGAAATACCCAAGCATCTTGCTGAAATGCTGCTTCTGATTCAGTGGGCCTGTGGTAAGTCCTGAGATCCTGGTATTCTGCAAAACTGTAAATGATGCTAGTGCAGACTGCAAATCACACTTTCATTTTTATATTTATGTTACTGTCCTTTGGGACAGGATTCAGAGCACATAATAGTTGCATGATAAATATTTGAACAAATCTGTGTTATGGAAATATGTTATCTCCGTAGCCTATGGATGTTAATGAATGAGACAGAACTTATCTACATCTGGGGAAGCAACTTGACTGTGGGGCCTTGATCAAGTTATGCTTTTCTCTGTGTCTTTGTTTTGATTTGTGTGGGTGTGGGAGCAAGAGGCTGATGAGTAGGATCTCAGGGAGATTTTAAAAAATAGTAAACTCAAACAGTGTTTGTAGGATTCCAAGCAGGAACGAAGGGTGGGAAGAAAGCTTTCTTTAGAAGGATATGTAGTCTGGTGGTAGTTGAGCAGTGTGCATGATACCAAACATACTATAACAATTATAAACTCCAGACAAAATGTTTTGTTTAAAAAAAAGGGGCCCACGCTCAAGGAGATTCAATGTACATGACTTGTCTTTTGAATGAAATTCCTGTAACATATCACCCCAAGTCTTAAGTAGATAGTGAGAAATTGCTGGTCACTTGAAGACACTGAGAAGCTGACCTGTAGCCAAGAGAACTCAGGTCATAGAAACAAAATAAGCTTTTGGAGCTAGCATACAAAGACTTTAAAACAGTTGTGTTGATTGCTTTAATCTGTGGCAGGGAGGGAAAATGGATAATGAGTAAAGAGATGGTGAAATTTATGGAAAAGAAACTTTGAAAAAGAACGTATATGTTTCAGCTCCCCTATGGTGGCAGAAACCACTACAGATTATCCTTCCCACTAATTACAACTAAAAACTCCAGGCAAAATATAATTACCCAAAGACTCTGTAAATGAAAGGAAGCAGATTGTGGAGGAGAGCAAAATTTGGAGATGCAACTACACAGAGTAAATTTTCTGTCTCTGGTGGATTTGTCCTGAGTATGGACCCCCTCCCAAAGCAGCATAGTGGGGCAGGCTGCTGAAACTCTAATAGAAATCTCATCTTTCTGCTTAGAGGAGCCAGAAAAGGAGCCCTTTGGGGCCTGGGGAAGAGTGGAGTATCCCAGAGTGGAGAGAGCTAGAGAAGGGATTTCCTAATTCTGGATCTAAAACCACACAAGTCTCAGGGTCATCTTGAGGGGGTTGTGGGCATGGAGCAGTGCAGTGCTCAGTCGTGTCCGATTCTTTGCGACCACATGGATTGTAGGGTCCATGGAATTCTCCAGGCAAGAATACTGGAGTGGATTGCCATTTCCTTCTCCAGGGGATCTTTCCCGACCCAAGGCATCGAACCCAGGTCTCCCACACTGCAGGCAGACTCTTCACTGTCTGACCCACCAGGGAACCCATGTGTGAGATAGACTCAAACCAGCATAACAAGAGCTTTGCGAACTAAACTGAGATTTTTACTACCACACACAAAAGGAGAAACAGAACTTAAGAGGCTAAACCTAACCATGTTGATTGCCTGCAGAAATAAACACATCAGTATTTTCCAGAGGATGATAAAAGAATGCAGTCTACACAACATTCAGAATATAATCCAAAATTTCTGGGCATACAGAAAATGAGCAAACTATAACTAATTCTCGAGGGAGAGCACAGAGACCAACCTCATTATTACCAATGTTGGAGCTACTACACACAGATTTAAAAGCCCATATTATAACAATATTTCATATGATAAAAGAAAACACACTTGAAATTAATGAAAAGGAAAAGAAACTGTTATCAACCCAGAGGTCTAAATTCTTCAAAAGTATTCCTTCAGAAATGAAAACGAAGTAAGACATTCTCAGGTGAAAAAGAAATAAGAGAATTTCTAGGAGATTTAATTTAAAGAAATAACAAGGCTTAAGCAAGGTATCACCAGAAGAAAACTATGAGCAGGAATGAGGAAAGACAAGCAGAAATAGTAAATATCTTCAAAATTATAAAATATTATTTTTCCCTTCTAAATTCTTTAAAATATGTATGAGTGTTGAAAACAAATATTAAACATTGTCTAGTGGGGTTTTTACATGGTTTTATTTCTCTTCAACCTGAAGTTCCTTTTTTTTTTTTTTTAACTTTATTTTATTTCATTTTGGCCATACTGCATGGCTTATGGGGACCGCTCCCTGACCAGGAACTGAACCTAGGCCCATGGTGGTGAAAGTGCCAAATGCTTACCACTGGACTGCCAGCAAACTCCCGTGAGGAGCTTCCCTTACCAGTTATGGCCATGTGAGTCCCCTGTTGACCAGTTTTCCCAACTTTCACTTATCTGAAAATACCTGTATTTCACCTTTGATTTTATTTATTTTATTGAAGTATACAACTGATTCACAGTGTTGTGTTATTTCTACTGTATAGCAGTGGTTCAGTTATACACAAATAAAATACACATTCTTTTTCATACTTCTTTTCATTATGGTTTATCACAGAATATTGACTATAGTTCCCTGTGCCATAGAGTATCACCTTTATTTTTGAGAGATATTTTTGCTTAGTATAAAAATGGCTTTATTTCAGCATTCTAAAGGATGCCATTCTATGGTCTTCTTGACTTTCATTGTTTTTGATGAGAGGTCAGCTGTTCTTTTTATTCTTATTCTCCTGGATGTAATTATATCTTTCTTCCTCTGATTTTTTTTCTCCTTTAAAAAAAATTG